ATCGGTTCCTAAGGGGCGACCCAATCCAAGCCACATTTCCTACGTGCGGCCGAATGGCACTTGGCTTTGACTCCCAGCAGCACCCCGCACACACGCACCTCCCCAACCCCAACTGCGAGTTCCAGTTCAGACCGTGTAAACTGGGAAGAAACTTCTCAAGTACAGGCAAACCCAGCGTAAGGCTGGCCGGCCGTAACTCCTCAAGAAGCCACCAAAAATGGAGAGCCCCTCGAGCATCTCTCAAGGCCGAGGTCTCGTGGGATGCCCGGGCACGGGCAGCGTCCCCACGGAGGCGCGGGAGCAGATTCCCATCACCGCAGGGAGCCGGCTGCCGCGCTCCCTGGTCAGCAGCCAAATGCTGCCGGCTCCAGCCGCGTCGGACGGTCCCGCGGTTGGAGATGCTCCTGGGGCTCCCAGGGCAGGCACAAGGCTGCGATTCAGTCCGTGGGGCTCTGCCGAGGTCGCGGCGCCGGCCGGCAGACCTCAGCACGAGCCCTGGGGGGAACCGGAGCCGTCTCACCCCTGGGCTGCCCTTTCCCAAGCTCCAGGAGGAAGCTTTGTTCCAGCCCTGTCTCAATGGCCAACATCGCCTTCCCCTTTGATGTCATTAGAAATGGGAGTTGCGCAACCAGCCGATGGAAAAGCTGGCGTCCCACAAGAACAGCCCCAAACAGCCAGAGTGTTGTGTAATGACAACAGTTGGCTGTTTCCTTCTTTTTTTCTTTTTAAATCTTATTTTATTTATTTTTTATTAAAGCCCGAGAACACTGCAGCCTTGGCTGAAGGCACGGGTACCTTCCCAGACGGAGAGGCGGCCTTCCCTGTGATTCCCCGCAGCCGGACCGGGAATCTGCCACTGCAAACATCTCTCCGTGATTGGGAAATCGCGGCCGCGAGGAAGAGCTCTGCTGCAACGCCGCTGCCCCTCGAGGGCTCCGCGCTCGGGGCAGACCCACAGCGGAGGAGCCCATGGAGAAGCTCAATTTGTTCCCCTGCCTGAGCCACCCACAGGGAGAGGGCTCGGAGAACAAAGCCACTTCTTAGGAGTTTCAATCCAGTTGAAGGGTCTTTAAAGTTTGTTCAACAGCGACAGAGTCCCTTTGAACTTGGTATTCACAGAGGGTGCCATTAAAAACAAAAGTGTGTTTACCAGAACACGGTATCTGAGATGGAAAACACTGCAAATACTGCAGGAAGTTAAAAAAAAAAAAGAAAAGGAGAAAAAAAAAAAAAAAGAAAAACGCACCTAGGATGACTTAAATCCTCCCCCCCACACTCCATTTTTGGCCGGGAGCATTTTGCAGGGCTGAGGAGGGCTGGTTCCCCTCTCAGTTGGGAAGAAGGTTTCTCATTTAGAAAGAGGAACCCAAGGGAGAAGGAAGCGCCCGACTGGTGGCTCCTGCACGCCCCTGCCCTACTGTTTAGCAATCCCTGCGGGATGCTGCTCCGTGAACACCCCTGACAACTGACTGCCTGGGAGTCTAAATACTTAAAAACAAGCTAAGAAGAGTGATAATTGAAAGGGGGGTTTAGTACAAGGACCGAGGGACTACTGCGGCACAGCCGTCGCTTGCAGAAATACGCAGCCACGGCTCCACAGTTGGACTCGATGATCTTAAAGGTCTTTTCCAACTTAAACGATTCTGTGATTCCACTGACACAACTGCTCTGGCTGTACTTGCAGAATACTGTCATATGAAATAGATTCACACGGTACCTCGTTTAACTGTAGCTATTGTTTAGGAAAGCGAACTCACAGTCACCGTGGCTGTACGCGTCCTTTGCGGGAAGCGTCTATCTCCCGTGGTGGGTCGCAACAGGCATGACTGATCACAACAGGCATGACTGATCATGGGCTTGAAAGAGCACAAACAGAAACAACGGAAACACTTGTTTCACCCACCGGGGGGAAAATTACTTTAGTTGTGTTTTCTTTATGAAATGAAATTCAGTATTACCCCCTTATTCATTATCTCCCTAACCTCCAGGAAAAAAATAACCCAACCTCTCACAGCCGTGTCACCAAGCTCTGGTGGAGGGGAACTATCGGGGTCAATGAATCGGGGATAAAAGAAATGAGGTTTTTGAAAGGCAAACTTTGAGATGGCTGTGGCTGACCGAATTCAACCTTTTTGTCATTCTGTGCTGGTACCTGGTTCAGTTTCTTCCTATACCTCTATTGCCATGGAGATGCTGGCGAGATCACCACCAAACATATGGTATCAATGCCAGAGCCAGCAGGTTAGTACAAGAGAAAGATCTTTAGCAGCAAGTAGAGAATCATGAAAATTCATCAAAAGCAAGCAAGCCAGTTAAGGATTTAATTAAGATCAGTTAGTTAATAAAAAAAAAAATATTTCTCAGTGTGACATCTCCTCTTTAAAACCAGCGTGAAAGGTTCATCAAGAGGATATCATGTAGTGATCGTCTTTATCACTGAAGATGTGTCCAAACCCAGCAACCCCCACGCCTTTGGGAGATTTGGACCTATTTCTGAGCTCTCTGTGGCTTGGACTTGAGTGCTAATTTACATTGGATTGAGGTGGCTGCGAGTTAAAATCCCTTTCCTTTGTATCGCAAGTAATTCTGCTGGGACATATTAGCACTGGGAGCCCCCACGTTGAACCCAGGCCCTGCAGGAAACCGGCCCTGAGACCATTACAGCCAAAAAAACTCCAGGCCAAGTGGAAGGTGACAGACTGAGGTTCTCTCTCGATGAAACAGGTCCAGCATGAGCAGCGATTTCCCATCACTACCCTGCCAAAACACCTCAGCCTTCAGCTGGAAGAGGATTCCCAAAATCGAGTTCAGGTTTTACAGTTCATGACCTTATTTATGCAAGTGCGTCTCCGCAGGCACTGGATCTGAGATGCTCCGACTCATTGCACACAGGTCCCTGAACAGCCAGGCACTGGCCATAACTTTGGGTTCTTCTGCACTGTAGACATACCCAAACCAGCTGCAACTCTCCACAGGTTCACTTCGCGCCAGGAGAGCTCAACACTATCGCGTGTGAAGTGGCACCTGAGCTGGTTTGGGTATCTCTGCACTGCGCTGCCATGGAAGAAGCAACCTGACAGCAAAGGTTTTTCAGTGTGATGATTGTCTCACCTATTCCTCCTGCACTGCCTCAAAGCAAAGACGTGTGGTTGGCAAAGCGATAGCGTAGCGCTGCACATAGACACTTGTTGACATAACCACGGTCATTGTCACACACACTTGAACAGAAGCGGCCACCTGCTAATCTTAAAAGGACAAAGCATGAGCTAGTACCATTGGTGTCCTTAATGCCTCTTCATCCAAAATAACTCTACGCTAAGAGGAGAATCCAGTAGCAAGCATTAGCTCTTGGAGGACCCTGGCTTCCAAACAGCTTAGTTTACAAAAATACCGAGGAGAAAAAGTAGTCAACAACCCATCTGCACAAAGCACAAGCACAAAGAAGATCTGTAACAGAGACTGAAGCAGCTCACTGGTGGGAAAAAGATGCTTTTGATTGCTAACTGACCATCACCTTGAGCGCAGAAGCATTATGAGCAAATTGTTCAAGAACTGCAGTTTTGCTGAAAAGGTGATGCTTTTGACCAAATAAAGCAACATGTTCCTAAGAGGACAGCTTTGATTACTCAGGAACTACAGGAATTTTGGGTAGGCTCAGGGGACAGGACAGCAGCACCCACAACAGCAAAACAAGATTTCAGATGTGGATTATGATTTATGCTCAAAAAACCACTCCCCGAACGGGAGGATGTTGGTGGGGGCATCTCACCAAGCCAAAACCTGATGCTGCAGTTTTGCGTGAAGGAGGAACAGGCCCCCAGTCTCTGCTTCTTAGAGCAAAACAGACCATCTACAGCAGACCGAGATTAAAGCCAGGCTCCGGCCATCCGGGGACATCTGCCCTTTTCTACACCCCCAGACCCAGTTGGTCCCATCTCCGCTGCACGTTCTAGAGAAGACACAGCGTAAGGAAGGGCACGGTGACAGGCAACGCACAGACAGACCCCAGGGAACAAGCCGAGGGAATCCCACCCTTATTTTCTCTTTGCAAATGGTTTAGGGGCAAACATGAATCACACTAAGGGTGACGAACAGGGCCATTTGGAGAGCATGATGTTGCTCCTCCCGTGCCGGATAGCCTATCTACAGAAAAACATGGAGTGAGCAAGCCAAGGACTTGGCCTTCTGCTAACTGCAGTTCCCTGGGTTTATCAGGAGGAACTTCACCCTCAGGCCTGCACCTGCCCCAGTGCTAATTCACAGGGCCACGGGATGGGCATTCTGGTGAAGAACATCCCGGAGGACTGGCTCAATAGCAGGGAGATGGCTTGGATCTGAGAGTTCAAAGCCAGGCAGTGTCAGGGGACCCCAAGTGCTCTCGTCAGGAACGCCATGAAAGTCAGACGAGGCTTCCCCACATCATTTCTCTGACACTAATTCTGCTCTGCCTTGTCTCACCTAAGTCACTGCCGGTGGACAGAGTCCAAAGCATCCAGCAGCACGTATTTTGGTATGAGTTTGTGTGTGTGTGTGAGCGTGTGAGCCAACATCAGCCAACCTTTGCTTCCCAACCACCCCCCCTTGACCTGGTAAGGCAGGTGGGACGGGCTCAGGACCACCCTGCGGCTCTGCCGCAGTCCCAGCCCCACGCACAGGCACGTTCGTACGGCTGCCAGCACTCACACCGGGCTCATAAGCAGATCCCCCGTGGTCTGGGGGATCCCCAACCCCAACCAACCAAGCCCACACAGAGCTGAAGTACAGCCCTCAGTATCACACACACACGCAGAGGCCGAGCGGACTCGCTGCTGCCGGGCAGGCAGGACCCCTTGGAAGCTGCCGGCAGGAATTCCTCCTCCTGGCCCACGTTCGTACCAAGAACTTCTCATCGCAGGGCTGCTCATCTGCCAGGCTAAAGGGTGGCGATGGAGGAGCTGGAGGAGGCAAGGCAGAGCGGGGAGCACGGTGTCAGACACGAAGCAGCTGCGGCGGGGTGCTCCAGTGCCTGGGTTTCGTTTACGAGGGATCAGAAGCGTTTTCTCCTTGTGTCGTCTTAAAATAATATTGTGCGTTTCCTCGAGCTGAATGTCTCTGCTTTTCCTGCTTACGATTCTTGCGGAACCACTTCCATCAGTTTCTGGCACAGGACTGTTGCAGAGTCTATGGGGAAGAAAGCGAAGTACAGGTCAGAGATCGCACGCAGGGGCCCAACATGTACCGTGGTCTCAGGTCATAATACTCTGCCTCAAAAGGGCTGCTGACCCGTTTGCCTCCCCACCGTGCTTCTCAGCGAGATTAGTCCAAATACAACTCAAAACTTGAAAGCAAATGAGCCGCAGGCTACTCTCTGCTCCTGCCCAGAACTTAAAACATGAGCCACTGGCAGCTTTGCCCCTGCAGCAAGGATGCTGCACTGCCCCGAGAGAGGCTCCGGTACTTCTCGACGCCAGTTTCTAATTGCATGGTGATACGGTAACTACGTTTGGATGCCAGAACTGCAAGCAGCCAAAACTGAGTCAGGCACAATAGCAGGAATGGGCACAGAAAATACGAGCCGATGGTTTTACTTCCAATTTTGAAAGCCTCGGCTGTACGTGCACACAGCTTCTTTAAAGGCTCGAGTACCTCTGGATAAAACCAACTCAGCATCCTGAACACAAGGCAAAGTCCACTGCCTTGCACAGGGCAGGTGAAGAGCAAAGGAAGCAATTCAGATGGAAGTTGGCACAGGAAAGACGCTAAACTGAAGTAACTTTGTTTTTCCACCCATTAGTTTTGGTGGCTGGTATCCAAACACACCTGTGCTTTCTGCTGCTTCGCTGTGTGTTTGGAGATCACAAGATGGCATGGCCAGGTAAAGCGAACGCTAATTCTAACGACACACAAAGTCAAACTCAAATCAGCCAGAGGCGGTCAAATTATCTGCAGTATATGAATATACTTCATGTGTTTACAGTGCGTATGTTTCTAACTGGACATTTGCAGGATTATGACTCTGTGTGCCCAGAATATTTTCTATACTCTCCTTACAAGCCTTTGGTGGTGGAAAACAATTAATATGGTAATTTGCCACCCAGGCACTGCAAAAAATGGCTTTTCCAGGAACTGAGCCTAATACTCAGAATAAAAAAGTGAGTGTGTGAGAGAGAGAGACGGGGGGAAAAAAAAAAGAAAAAAAAGAAGAATAACAAGTGCTGAGCAGTGTTGAAAGCCTTTTTCTTCTTCATAAAAAGCATCCAGCTAAGGCTGGGCATTTCTACTTGTCTGCTTTTCTGGGTCAGCCTGTTGTACAAGAGCTGGGAGGCAGATGGTAGAGTTTAGTTACTTGGACAACACGGATTGACTTCCTTGATTCCGTTCTTCAGACAGAGGTTACGTGTGCCAAGCACAGCCTCTCCAGCCCTTCAAAACACACCGTGTTGTCGTGTCAGCTACTGGAAAACCTTCTTCGGAGATACCTTAGAAGTAAACCTCGTAAGAGAAAACATCCAGGGGATTTTCCCCTCCCTCCACTCTGCTGCCGCATTTGGATGCCAAGGAGAGCTTTGACTGGATCAGAAAAGTCAGCATTGGCTAAGCAATGGATTGGGACTAATTCCGAATTTTCGGCAGTCAAATTCAGGCCAACTGCGCTCAGACTGTTACGCTGGTACTTCTTTTCCCTTCCTACACCACCAGAAGGGGATTCTGGGCTGACAAAAGGCTTGACCCTGTGCTTTTACGGGAGGCAGAAGAAAGGCAGCAACGTGCTCAGCAAATTATGCTCCACTGTGTAACAACAACCTGTTTGCCAAAATTAAAAAAAAAAAAAAAAAAAAGTATTTGGCCCAAACTTTGCAATTATTGCAAGTCAGGGTGCGTTTTGGGTGCTTGGTAGGTAAGGTAATCATCAGGTTAAAACTTGTTACCGTTAAGGAAGAACTGATCAGAGCCAAGACACTGGAAGCTTCCACTACACGAAGGAGAGCCAGTGCTACTCGCTGCAGCATGCTCTCCGGGAAGCTGCTGTTTTTAGAGCAAAAGCCAAGGCTGCACCCTGGCTTTTCACTGGTTATACTTACAGATGCCTTGGAGGACCCACTTGGGCTTGTTTTGCCACCAGACCCCGAAGAAGTAAACGGGGATCCCGCTGAAGATGATTGCAAAGCCAATCGCGCATTCCTTCGGTGTCATCCAGAAGGAGACAGCAATGAGAAACAAGCAGGCCAGGATGAAGAAAACGGGCAGGCAGATGTTCACCTAAACAAGGACCCAAAGAACGGGTTAGAAGTTGTATCAGGGGAACAGGGTAGGCTTTCCAGTGAATTTTATCTAGCCCGGGGAGGAAAGGAGTTCATATTCCACCGTGGACCCTATGTGGACAGTGCTCCTGTCTGTCGCCAGTGCTCTGAACAAGGGGACCGTGACCTTGAACCGCCACGGGGAAGGTATCAATTTAGGCAGTGCTTTTCAGCAATCCTGGAGAAACTGGAAGCAGGCACCACCTAACACGCACATTTAATACCAGCAAAACAAAGTAGGGAGATACGGCTTGCCAAGACGGCGTAAACCTTTCTCAGCATCCCTTTTTTTACCCCAATTCCACACTTGAATGACTCCTTATAAAAAGCACCTGTACCAACAGCATCAAATTCAGCAGCCACCACGGCACAAGCCAGAGCATCTTCACTGCAGTTCCTCAGGGGACTCAGCTACGCTGCTGCGAGCCGGGCACCCGCTGAGAGCAGCTCAGCTTTTAGAAGAAAACGCAAAGGAATCACCCCGCGAAGAGTCACTTTGGGAAGGCACTGGTACAGGTCTGCGAGTCTGTTTCTCTCTGGCCGCCTGTTTCCCGGCAGAGACCTGAGCGTGCCGGGGGATGAGCGAGAAACATGCCTTTAAGGAAGGCAGACATGCTTGTGGCTGACATGATCTTGGCCTCCTCCCAGATGGGACACGGTACTGCCGAGCTGGCCAAGGACAAAGAGAACAAAGTTCTCAGTTCTCCTCTCTGCAGGCGTGGGTTTGCCTGCTTTATTAAAAAACTATTTTAAGTGAATTCCATGATGGTACAGAGTGTTTCACGGAGAGCCACAGCCTATGATTTGTCCTGGGGAATATGTTAGTCACCGAGAGCTCCCCCCTGGGCTACCCCACCAGAATACCCCGCATCTCTGACACCCAGAGCCTCCTTCACTCTGCTGTCCCCACGGCCACGGCAGCTCTTCGCCCTCCTGCACCGATTCGCATCCGGGAGATTTCCATGCAGGAGGGACACTTGCTGTTAGCTACAACACAACATTTCCCCTGCACGCTTGCAATCCCAGTCCCTCATCCGTACAGGACGAGCAGCCGTATGTGCTGAACCTTCCCTGGTGCTGAGAAAGGAATCGGGGAGGACCGACCATGCAATTATCACACTGTTCTCACCTTGATGGGCCTTTCCAGCTCTGGCTTCTTGTAACGCAGCCACATCATGCCGATGATGGCCAGAGCCACACACAGCCAGTTGAAGAAGCTGAAGAAGTTGATGACTGAGAAGATGTTGTTGGAGAAGGCATACAGCAGGGTCATGACGCACTGCATCCAGAAAAAAATAAAAAAAAAAAAAGCCATTAGCAGAGGGAGTAGGCAAACCCACGTATGTTACAACACTAAATACAGGTATTTTAGAAGAACTTTATGCCAGGACAAAAATCAAGTTGATTATTTTTCACTTATTTAAGCTATTTTCAATTGGTGCCTGGAGTGATTTCCAAACAGAAGTGGAATATGAGGATATGATGAGAAGGAGAAGGGTCTATCCTCTCCTGTAGGTACATGCAGCAATGGCCGTGTCTGGAGGTGGTGCCCAAGTAGCCCTCCTCCAACCGCTCCGATGGGATCCTACCCCCAACTCATTTCTCAATACCAGGTCATCATCACAGACCCGGGTGCTTACCGTAAAGATGAGGGACGGCACGGGAGTGAGAAGCCTGGGGTGAATCATAGACAGGATTGAAGGCAAGTGTCCTTCTCGGGATCCCACAAAGAACAGCCTGAGGTGGGGGAGACAGACCAGTTATCACCTCTGCAACCTTTCAGCTCCGGGCTGGGGTTTGTCTTCAGCAAAAAAACAAGCGGGGACAACCCAAGCCCAGCCTAGACAGCTCTGAAGCAGCAAGGCTGAAACGCCCAGGCTCCCCGCAGGTTCTCCACCTCGGTGGTGCCTTGCACGACGCCGGCTGTGCCCTTTTGCTAGTCATTGGTTCAGGAGCGGGGCCCTCCAGGATCAGAGCCCAGCACGGGGTGTTCTGCACATACACAGTGGAAAGTCCCTGTCTTAGAAGGAAGGCCGGAGACAGACAAAGAATGCAAGAAAAGATGTATTTATGTCCTCCTTTCCAGAGAGAGCAATTAAGTGACTTTCCGAAGACAAGCCGGGAGATGTGTGTCAGAGCTGGAACCTCCGCAGTCCCCATCCTGCCCTGTCCTCTCTTCCCTTTCTGGAGGGAGTTTCATAAGTTTCTGCTTTTCATTACAGCCACTTTCTCAGGCAACATCACTGAGCCCCGAGCCTGTGTTTGTTTGTGTTCTAATAACTTCAACAGGACTTTGCCTGAGGAACAGAAGACTAAGATCACTGAAAGGGTGTCCTTTAAACTGAATATGGTTTTAAAGTCTTAATTTTTTTTTTTTTTTTTTTTGCATTTCCCACATGGCCTCCAGACCCTTTAGACTTTGTGTCTATCCACAGCCACTCTTTGGAGGACAAGTCCAAATGAAGAGGCATTAAGCACAACCTGTAAACAAAAACCACAAAATTGAGCAAGAAACCTACCGGGAAGAAGTGAAGAGAGATCCATTAACGGATCCAAAGCATGATAAGCCAACAAAGACGGGTATGATCCAGGACATGACACCAAGGTGATAATTCCCGAAATCCTAAAGAAGGGGCAAGAAGACAGACAGTTCACACTCAGAGTGCCCAAAAGAACTCATAGCTGCCTACAAAGACTTAATATTTGCAGAAATCTGAACAAATGACATGTGCTGAAGGTGTTATGGAGTTTTTCCACATTGCCATGTGCTGCTCCTCCTTCCTGAAAAAGCATGTTGTGGAATTGCCAAAAAAAAAAAAAAAAAAAATATCCAGCAGAAAGCCCTTTCCTCAGAGTCAGGACAAAACGTTTCTCAGAACAGCTACCCAAAAGTTCAAGACCGACTGGAAACTGCAAGGAGATTCAGAGAGGCAGCTATTGCCAACTGCTGAGTAAGGACGTGGGACAATGCCCTTAAGAGACGCCGTGACCTGGAGTTGTTGTTTTATATCACAAACTGACCCCGCGCTGCTTCACGGCAGTTTTACACCAACACTATTATATTGATTTCAGGACTTGCCAAGGCACACAACTAGAGCAACGCAACACAGGCTGGCATCTCCAGTAACCCGGCACTGCGTACGTGCTGGCTGGAGCGGGGCTGGGGACTAACCCAAAGGAGGGAGCGCTCGCTGTCACCTGAACGGCTCAGAGCAGCTTATCCTGGACCGGGAGATTCCCCTGCAAGCACCGAACAATCCTGGTCACGCTCAGTTTGTAAGGTCATACCACGCTGCTCACTTCTGAAGCAATTGGGATTTCTGACCTCAATGGCATTTTAATTAATAGAAGTATTATTTTTCTCTCTTAATTAAAACAAGGGAAGATACAGAGAGAGAACAATCTAGTTCAGTATTGACTGAATGACCTTTTCCCATAAATACCATGCTGTGGTAACTGATGATAAGTCATGAGGCCAGCAGCAACCTTGCATATTTACGAATTAAGGGCAGCGTTAACTGTCTGCCCACCCTCACTATTGTCGGTGATTAATCCCACTTGGTATCACACTGTTCTTCCCTGCTCCCGTCACAGTTGCTCTTTATCTCCTGTCAAACATCAGCTTTCTTTGTAAGCAGCCACGACCAGCACGGAACAAACTAGGAGATGTACGCAGAGATTGTAAGTCCGATTCAACCAGCCCTGGAAACCAGATGAGTCACATCAGAAATGCACCTATCTTACCACAGCCACGGCTTCCGACGTCAGCATCTGGTCCGTCGACAGGGTCGTGAAGTAAGCCAAGTTTGTCAGCACATAAACCAAAGTGACTACAGGTAGCGAGATGATGATAGCCAGAGGCAGGTTTCTAGGAAGAAAATATAAATTGCAATGGAGCGCTGCAGTTCAGAGAAGAGAGCGGTTGCTGCCCGGGATCGGCGGCACACGCTGTAGCCCTCCTGCGCTCCCTGACAGTTGGCTCGAGCCATTCTACTCTTCTTTGGCTCTTCAGCATGTCCCGTTTCCCAGCCGTAAGCTGCTCCCCTGGGAGAGAAGACGATGCCCCCATGGGCACAGCCTGAAGGCTGACCGACATAAAGCGAAGGATTACGGCAGAAGGGGCTGTTTGCACGGAGAGGCTCTGGCTGGCTGGGCAAGCAGTAATCCAAGATCACTGCAGCGGCACTTAATTAAAAATAACCCCCCATGTCTCTCACTAGCCAGTGGCATCAGCATGTGCATTGTCTTCCGGGCAGAGGAGAAGCATTTGTGCTGGTGGGTTTCTTGTGGGAGATGGAAAGATCGGGGATTTAGCGGGCAGTTTTTAGGCTCTAACTCTGTGCAGCTGGCCGGACTGATGAAACTCAAAGAAAATGAGTTCAGACACGGCCTGAGCGGGTCTGTAAAGACGAGGCTGTGTTGGTACAAATTTGCCTTTCCAAATAGTCTAACTTCATTTCAGAACGGAAACTGGAAAAGGAAACCCTGCTTGATGCCACGTATAATTGGTCTAGTGGAGCTCAAAGCCACAGGAGGAGAGAGTCAAATACCATGACTGCATTCAGCAGACAAGAAAATAATTGCAAACTGCAAAAACCTTTTTTATAACTGTGTTTGTCAGGGAAAGGGCGTATCAAATCGTATGCTTCCCAGCAGGCACTAATCACTGCCAGGGTCAGCCAGGAATGGGTTCTTGCACAAGTGACCCTGAAGCTCGTATCGACAGTGCCTCATAGGCACCTTCCCTATGAGCAGAGATGATTTATCAGCCATGTCCTGCTTTGGTGTGGCCCACCCTCTTCTCGCCAGGCCCCCTCCATAACCCCGAAAGGCACGAGCCGTGCAGAAAGCAGCTATTGCTCAAGAGAACAGGAAGAGCACGTGACGAACATACGTACAAACAAATACTCTTGTGGGAGTTTATACAAGACAGTAATAAAGCCATGAGTGCTTCTTCCCCGCCTACAATTCAGAAAGGTGCCATGCCAAGGAAGTGGGACTTTCCAACACCACTGATAATATTAGTACAGGAAAGCAGTGCAAGCAGCGGCCCTTCTCATACAGAGATTATTACTCCCCTTCCCCTATTCCAGGGAAGAACAACGCCATTAATTTATCTTGTTTTCTATTTGCCCAGAAAAAGACCTCAGCTTCTGGGTTGAGTAGCAACCCCCATTATGCACAGGAGGAAGGGGCTTCCTCCTCAGAGAACGACTGGGTTTCCTCCCCGGGAAGTCATCACAGGACACACACCTACCTGTAGGGATTTATCATCTCTTCTGTAACAAAATTCAAGTAATTCCTGTAATTTCAAAAGAACAGTGGTTAATTCTGATTAGTCCACGGAATAAATAAAGCCCTTCATCTTACTCATCTGCAAGGGGATTTCAGGAGGGGTAGAGAGTAGTTTTACACCTGCTGTAAAACTTATGATGGCTGATGGTCCAAGACCTCCAGCACAAAGCCTGCAGAGCACCTGGCTGGTGCTGGTGGATGTAGCACACCACACTGCAGCTTCGATTGCAGGTGAAGAGCCGGACCCACGAGTGACAGGGATGGCTGCAACTGTCCTGTTTTCACAGCAAATCGAGCAGGTCCCTTGTGCTTGCCATTGCTCAAAGGGACCGATAAAGAAGCGTTCCAGGAGCTTCGGTTTGGTGCTCAAAGTAATCTGTTGGCGTGCAGCGCACCTCTCCTCTGCTGGCCAGATCCACCCTCCTGCTTTCTCCTAACTCCACCTAAGAGCTGCAGCAAGCATCACCCATCATCTGCTGCTTCTTCTAAATCTCATGATCACTTCCACTTCTTTGTGCTTCTACGTCCTGGCTGGAAGCAGGGTGTAGTATGACTATTAACATTAATAAACAAACCCAAAGTATCTGCCTTATTGTCCCAGCTACACGAAAGATGGAAAGTCCTGGACCACAATCCCACAAACACCATCTGGGGACAAAAGGAATGGACTACAGTATTTAGCACTGAAAAAAAAGGTAGAGGGCTGCATCTTACCATCCTCCATAGGCAAAGAGACCACTGTACAAAGCTAACACGATGTTCCCCACGCCTACTTTTGTGCCTTCGAAGGAGTGCTCGGGAGTCAGGTTTGTCACATCACCTGCAGAAAACAAAACCAAGAAAGGATCGATGCAGATGGACTGTGAACCCCGAGGGCCTTTGTGGGCGTTGAAACAGAGAAACCTGAAGGCAAAAACTGCTCGTAGGATACTTAATTATCATGCTGATGCATTTCGGGTGATGCTAGAGAGCACGTGCACGTATTTCTGTTGGGCCAATTCCTCCAGTTTTACAGTGCTTAATCCATCCAGAGTAACACACCAAATAATGAGCCCCAAATACACTTGTCTCCGGCAACTGGCCATTACTGAGAACTCAAAACCTTCTCACACTGCAACGTGCTATGACCGAGGTAATCTCCCAGATATCTTCTCCCCATGAAGAAAACATTCTGAGGACCTTCCTGCTGGAAGATGCTATGCAAACAGATATTGTCACATTGTCCTCTCAACTGAAAGCTGCTTTCATTCGATAAAAACCCAGGATTTCCTCCACTTCCACCAGCCACCCAATAAAGCAGAAACCCAGGATTTCCTCTAGTCCCACCAGCCACCTGATAAAGCAGAGGGTTGTGGCAATCCCTTTGATTGTGGGAAGTCAGGTTCTCTGGGGCTTGAATATCAGAAGTTAGCTTCTTTAGGACTTGAATATCAAAAGTTCCTGTTATGTATCTGCTTTTGAAATAAAAAGCCATAAATAGACGACTCGATTGTACCTTTGCTAAGAACTCTCCCGGAGCAGCCAAGGGTTTATTTATTTTGCTTTAAAATGCTCTACAGTTGTTTTGTTCCCTGCCTTTTGATGTGGAGCCCGGGTGCAGGCCTGGGATGGCGAAGCCACACTCCCCTCCCCGGACGCAGCGCTCCCCTTGGGGAGGACAGAAGCGGGGAGCGAGGCAGGATTCGGTGGGGCTCCTTTGCATCCCGGGAGCCCATGTGATTCCTCTTAGGGCATAGATCTTTACTAATCGCCGGAGCAACTGCATCACATGGCAGTCAGCAGAGCCCGGAGCTTAACCCTTCATCTCTTAGCACAAGGTAGCCAGGACGTGCGTGCGGGGAAAGGAGCGGGATGCGAACATAACAGGCGTTTTTCCTCTGGATGGCCTGGGAACTTTCACTCCCTTATGCCACCAAAAGCCACTTTTGCAAAGGGTGGGTAACAAAGATGGATGCACGGACCTTTTAACACCTCTTTCCCATCTTGGTAGTGGTGGAAAAGAGGGACTTTTCCCGATGGCACTACCGGTCTGCTGCTGCACCTTTCATCCATTAGGCTTTGCAAGGGACTGCTCCAAACCTGTGCCGGTGACACGGAGCTTCCCTGTGCATGTAGGAGAGCTACATCTTGTCTTTCCTCCTCTCTACCTGACCCTCCAGCTCCATCCCCAACCTTTCCATCCTGGGCATTGCTCCTTTCACCTCCTTTCTCCCTTCTGTTCCTGCTACCTAACACAGCGTGCATAATGCTCTCTGCTCACAAAGCTACCCAGGAAACCAGCATCCCTCTGCCTTCTTCCCTGGTCGGTTCCTATCCCATTTGCAAGGGGATGCTGTGAGTATGAGCTGCAAAAGAGCCAAGACCACCGCAGCAGCTCATGCTCTGGGTGATCAGGTCCGAGAAACCCAGTGGAGTTGTGTCCGGCAGGTTTGCAAGGCTCTGCTTGTCCCGATCCCACTGCAGATTGCCGTTCTCCACTGGTGTTGCCTTGTCCCTCTCTCCCAGCACCTCCTTGCACTAGAAAGGTCCCTTCTGAATCTACCTTGGGATATGCTGGTTGTATTTAATGCCCCTTCAGCCAGTTAATCTCCTTAGCAAAATGCACCAACTGTTTTTAAAAAGTGAGGTTAGAACATGTACATCAGAGTGTAACAAGAAAGCCAAGAAATGCAGAGAGACCGATACAATGCTGCCAGTTTAGCCTTGATTCCTGGCTTATAGGTTCAGTCATATAGTCCTAATTTAGCATTAACGCCCTGGCCTGGCTGTGACTAAAAAGGCTGAGCAGGAGGTGGGTGTGCACGGTATCACATTCTGCTAGATCCCTTGGGCTCAGCTTTCCTGAGTTTATTTTCTGCCCCTCCTGAATAATTACCAGTCTAGTTCTTTCCAGGTCTTTTGTTATGGGAGTAAGACACAGTTTTTGTTAACAGTGACTGTAATTAGCTGGAACAGCACACGGATGGACTAGGAGACCAGGAGAGCTCTCCAGGCGTTTCAAAGACCCTTTGGGACATCTCTCAAAGGTCTGTTTGAGCTCTGCCAGTAGCCCAGCTCCCACTCAGGCCAAGGGATCACCACCTTTGCCACGTCAGGAGGATGCTGTGATGTGGAAGGAGGGAGGACACAAGCAGCATTGCACCGTGGGCTCACACCGCCATTTCTTGTCCACAACTGGACACCAGCTTCCACCAAAAGTCTCTTTCTTTTGTCACAGGCAAAAACCTCTCAGGCTAAATGTTCCTTTGCCTTCCCAAACCTCACACAGAAACCGTGTGCTGGTGCCACCGAGGAAGGGCTGAGCTGCTGCTCTTGCCCAGCTGGCCAGGAGGGGAGGAGAGCATCGGTGGTCACCAGACCGAAACCACATGCCTGGATTCAGGATGCGCCACCCACTTGGGAACCGCGGGCATCTTCAGCCTCTGGGCAAGGAAGTGTCCAAGCCCGGTTTGGGGACCTGCTGGGCTATACAGACACTTTGGCTGTGTGTCAGGAGGACTGCCTGTCCCCCAGGGCACACGAGCAAAGAGGAGCGCTATGGGAGCAGCACTGAAGCACAGAAATGAACACAAAGCCTGGCACTTCATTACACGGTGGGTGGGCGGCAGTGACGGATGGAGGGATGGATGGATGGGTGGGACATAACTAATTGCTTGCACACCTCTCCCTTGCACCCGCCGGCCGCCGCACGCACCTAACCCATCTCTCTGAAGCACCGAAATGCACCTAGGGGCAAAGGAGTGGCAAGTCAGCGTGGAGGCAGCCAGGAGAGGAGACTGGGTAGGAAGGAGGGGGCTTTTTGTTCCTCCTCAACACTTGAGGAGCTGACACCTCGCTGCCCTCTCCCCGCCTCACCTAGCAAGAGTCGTAGCTCTCCAAAAACTTGCAGCAAGTTGCTAAACTTCATGTCTTTATGCTCCCACGGTGAAATGGATTTAACAACATGTCAGAACATGATTAAATAACCAGAGGAGCTCAGTTCTATCTCTTCCCACTGCAAGGGGACAAGCTCGTATTCTCAGGTGTCCACTTGATGCCCCTTTGCCATGATGTTTGCTTCTATCATGCTTTATGGCTTCCTGGTTGCATGACAGGAGCTTGGGCTCCTTAACAAACACACCCCAAAGATCACATCCCAGCGGAGCAGCCGTCCTCTCCCACCATCACCACCACAAGGCTCTGTCCCACCCTGCCAGCTAACGGATCACCAGAAAGATAGTAATTTGTGCCCACCAGCCATGCCTTTACAGACATAATTGGCACCAGGTTAGACATCCTGGGGCAAAAAAGATAAGCTCCAGCAGCGATGCTGGAAAGGCATCCCAGATGTCTTCCCACAGGGGCCAAGCTGTAAAATACAGTGGGTGAGCTCTGGCTGTACCCGCAAATCCTCGGAACAGAAATCCATCACAAAGATACAAATCCATCACAAAGATCACACAAAGATACCTCCTCTGGTGCGGAGGCCCCGGAGGTGCACTGGAGGCTGAGAAAGTGTCCAGGAAGGACCACGTGCCCCTGTCGTTTGTACCCTCACCCACTGATGCTTGCTCTTGGCCCCTGCTGGGGACTGGGGACACTGGGTAGATGGTCCAGCACCATCACTCTTACCTCTGTCCTCTAATACAAGCGCTCATTAGGACCTGCTGCTCAAAATGGAGGTATGAACCTCAGTTCCAGACACTCTTTTTAAAGCATCTTTCAAGCGGGAATGTGCAATTCAAGCCTCCGACACTCCGGAGTTTTGAATTGCAGACTTTGGATCAAATCCAGGGTTACAAATCTGCAGGTGAGGCTGCCAAGCTCGGCTTCGGCTGCTGCCACGGAGCGAGAGATCCGTAAGCGAGAGCATCCCGGGCACAGGCGTGCTCTGCCCACCCTCCCGGTTCCCCCGTCCTCCCCAGCCCGCGCAGCCACGGCCGCTCTCGAGGCAATGCCCTGCCCGTGCCCGGCACCCCGGCGATCTGAAACCTGGTTTGAACTGGCTGTTCCCTCTGCACTCTGCTCTACAATTAACCAAATTAAGGTAACAAGCTCTGACATAAACCCCATTTGCTGATCTTGCCAGCTGCCAAGACTCTGGTAATTGCGCCGCGGAGCGATGGGTCACCTGGGGCCTTTCGGCAGGAGGGACCTATTTCGGGTCCATGCGCTGCGTGTTCAGACCCTTTCTTTGAAAATGTTCATTTGCTGCCCAGTCATGTCCATTCTGGTTATAACAGCAGAGCAATCTTCTCTTGCAGAAAGCATTTAATGATAATTAAATATTTTTAACTTGCCTAAACATCGAGGAGAGGGAACACAGCCATCGAGAGAGGAGGGGGGGCTCTCAGCACATCTCGCTCGTGGAGGAAACCAAGCCAGGGAAAAATGTGTTGTATATATGAAAAACCCCAGAGGAGAAGATCCACTCAGCTGTTGAGCCATTTCCTGAGAAAAGCAGCAACAGTTCAACCAACTGAGTCAGAAAAACAAGACGGCAAGAATCACACAGGGGCCAGGGTTCGGAGAGCATCTCTGGCAGCTCGTGGCTCCCCAGGAGATGTGCGCTTGGGAGCCACAATAAAGTGTTTGCTCCTCTCTGATCGCTGCCACTCTCCGGACAGCTTTGCATTAAGCAGTTTTGAACAGCAGCTATTAAATTTGCGTCCCATTGTAGATGAGTTTATGGGTCTGAAAGACACCACCAGAAAGACTGGATCAGCAGAGGGGTCATCTAGGGAGGAGCCGGAGCTCCCGAGTTACATCCTTGGTTCTCACCACCAGCTATGGACGGGCTATGACACTTCCCCTCATTTCAACAACTTGCTTCTGTTTTAC